GTCCGGTGGAATCTTTTCGTTGTACTCGATGGGATCACACGGGTAAGCTTTGCGGTACTGTAATCCCAGAACAACCGCGACGGCAGCTCGCAGCGTGGTTGAAACTGCGCAAAGAGTAAGCATCGATTTGGGATCCAATAGACCAATGATCATCTCCAAGAGCTCGGCGACATGCAGTGCGTGATGAGCTTTGCTCATGCCTTGTCGTTTAGATCGCGAACACTTCGGGGTGACAGGAGCAGCTTGGGTTTCATCATGACGAGGATGATTGGTCTTCGCTATTTTGCATTGAGAGATGAGTTGGTCCATCATGCGCAGTCGCGGTTGTCGCCATTCTTCAATGCCGGCCTCTAATTCGGATCGGGGCCGTGGGGGTGGCTGTGGCCATGGTACTTGAGGCGGGACTCGATTTATGCCATTCTCGATATCAGCCTCTGCTTCCCGAGCTTCTATGAGCATGTGAAATCGGGTTGATTTGTCATCCAGGAGTTCCAAGGTTGTGCATTCTGGAAACCATTTCGTGATTAGAACATCATCGGGATGCAGACCTTCATCGTTGTTGTCGTACCTTTGCTGTTCGCCTTCGTTGGGCATATCTGGGGTGGTCATGTTGCCGAAATCAGGGGTCGGGATAGGCTTCGTGAATTTTGAATGAGGAGTTATGAAGTTGCAGGGGACGATGGATTTTATGTGCTGCGACTTCTCAAGGCAGCCGGGGCACGGGCCTCATCACGTGATCAGCGCCTGCCTACATCGGCAGCACTAGACCCAACAGTACCAAAACATCACTCCAGGCATCAGATTCCCGTGATCGAGCTCGATGCCATGTCTACCTATAAAGGTCGGCACATCTCTCTGCCTTCTACGCGACGCCCTGCCAAAGCCATATCGCCATGGCTTCCACCACCCCCGATCCAGAATGCGCGCAATACCATCCGTACGACCCGCTAATCGCGAAACACTTTCCAGACCAAGATCTTAGTTTACTGCACGCAAACAAACCTCAGTTGGGTAGCCTGTATCTCCTGGCCCTTAAACTCGATCACAACGGAGTACATCCTCAAACGACATGGCCAGAGAAACCGCACCCATCTTTGATGCCTGGAGTGGAAGAATGGAGGCGAACGATGCTGTACACGATCGATACGCGTTTGCAATTATATTCAAACCATACTCCTTCCATGCGCGCCCCAACGTCTGGCACAGCTCGTGAGCTCCAGCCAGGCAGTTTCTCTTTCTCTGCTCGGCGTGTATTCGACATTCCTGAATTACTGGAGATGATACTTCGGTATGCAACCACAGACTCACAATACGCAGCTTGGAACGTTGATGTGTCCTGGCGTCAGACAATTCGCTACATTCTCGCGTCTCGATACCACAGCCATCATCCTTGCCCTCCGGTGAACCATGGGCAACGCATCGACAGGGAACTCTCCTGGCTACAGCCCACTGAGCAGGAGATTATCGACATCGAGCACGCGATCCTGTCGCTACCTCAAGGCCCCGCTACTACTACTAGTACGCCTATTCCAGGCCTCAGACCATACTTTCCTGCCAAAATCTTCCAAGCGCGCAACATACCTCAGCTATATTACGACAAAATCCGAAATTGGTATGGATTCATGTGGCTCAGGCGCTCAGGAACGTTGCCACAGTTTGGTAGTCCGTGTTGGCTTGATCTGAGCCAGTTCAACTTCAATCCGTACTTTCTGGAGCTGTTTCCAGGGCGAGTGCGGCTACACCTCGGCAGATGCGAAATCACACTAGGTCCATGTTCGTCCGAGCGGCGCGTTTACAAAAGACCTCTGCCACAGACAGCTTTTGATGAGTTAATCAGCTCTATGTTTCTTACCGAACCGCCGTGCAAAGCTTTGGGTATCTATCTACCAGGCCGACGCGCACCAGCTCTTAGATTGGTTGCTAAAGTTCGCGATGCTGAGGGGATCCGGGTTGGTCAAGTCTTACGTACGCTCAAGCAAAAGGCGGATGATGCACTTTCTTGCTGGAAACACGGGGTGAAAGGCTTACGACGGACTATTGAGAGACGAGATTGGACGGCGCTCACTAGTTGGCATGACAAGCACCATGCAACTAACTTCGAGGCGTATCCTAAGTTCATGATTTTCCTCGAATCAGACGAGGACGCAAGTACTCCTATCGCTGAACGAACTTTCGGCCTTGGCGATGAAACTGAACAAGCATGTCAAGAAGAATGGTATGGAGAGTTGGACGAGCACGAATCTGGATAGTGGTTCATGATGACTACTCGCTAGGGCCTCATTATTTGGACAACAACAAAACATCCGTGGACCGGGGATGCGATTATGAATTCGCCATATCTTTAATCCTATTGTATCTGTACGCGGCTCGTCATTTGTCAAGAACTAGTTACGCCTGCCCGAAGTTTACACACACGTGTATCCCCATCGACGGCGACATGGACTTCCGTACGCTCGCTTGACACTGGAATCAACCGCGAACACCTCCCGGCACTACCCTAATTCTCAAGCTATAGACGAATACAGTATACATTTCCAGCAAACATCTCGCGCCTATTAGGACGCAGTTAGGTGAATTTACACGTGCGCATCAAGCTCTCATACTGCTCACCAAAAAAGGGCCATGGCCCTTTCGCGCACAACATCCAATCACACCATTCCTACTCAGCTGAGCATGCAGCCAAGACGCAGCCTGATCACCCTCGCCCTTTTCACTGTCTTGCTTAAAGCGGCACGAGGCTTTGCTGGCTGCAAGTATGTATTACCGCTGGATCCTGCTTGCGTTTCCCACCAAAATTCCACGCTTCGCCTACCACCACCGCCTCAGCCTTCCTCCGCTGCTTTACGACTGCCAACGCATCAACTCGAGTGGCTTGCATCGCCTCAACGCTTTCGGTTAGGCACGCTGCAGCCGACGTCTGCCTTGCCAATCATGGACGATTTCCCGGATCTTGGGTGAGCTTTTTTTTTTTACACTTTGCTAACAAAAAGGGCGGTGGTAGAGAAGTTTTGCTGCCTCAGCAGGCGGCACCTGCATTTGATCAGTCTGCACCCAACCTGGCAACTACGCAACCGTACGATTCACTCTTATTGCCTTGGTCCCCATCACTCGACGCTTTTCACTTCATCCCGGATCACTGCTATCATGGCATGCTATGCAGTGACCGCATGTTGAGCGAGTCTCGTTCAGACTGGTTCAATCTCCAGACGTCCACCCAACAATTAGATGGCCACGGCGTCTCCGACTCCAATGCTGCGCGTTGGTGTACTGCGAGCCAGACAAACACGGTCGCTTCTCAAACAAGCCACGATGAGAGGTCAGTATTATCTGAACCCACAGACAGAGTCAGTTTTAACGCTATTCGAGTAGTTTCGTTGATACTGGAGCGAGATATCTTGATCCAGTAACCGAGAGTACCAATGTTATGTCTGCTCATTCCACGCCACAGCAGTCGCCATACAATTCCATCGGCCGAAAATGCATCATACTTTCCTGTGAGTTCCGTTACACCTCACAGTGGCAATACAAGGAACATATGCGGGCCGTGCATCAGGATGTCTTTACATGCGAAGAATGCATGTATGTGGGCAAGAGCCAGTACGAGGTTGGACTGCACGCTTCGACTACAGGCCATGCTTCGTTCATCTGCAAGCATGACGACTGCGAAAAGAAGTTCGCCCGACTGGACACATACCAGAGGCATCAGCGGACCCATCGAGAGGACGCTAAGCGTTTCCCATGCAAGTATTGCAAGAAGTATCGAGGAAAGAGCGCCTTCAAACGCAAAGATCATCTCACTCAACACGTTAGGAATTATCATCACATCGGCGAAGACAAACAGTGCGGACACTTACTTGACCGCAAGTGGTGTCCAAAGAAAGAGTGTACTGAGTCAAAACCTGCTACCGTATTCATCCGGGACCTAGGTGTCTTCACGTCCTCTAAGGAATGGGTCAAGCACATGCGTACTGTGCACGACGAATCCGAATTTTCCTGCCCACAGCCTGGCTGCGACCGCGTCAATGGAAAAGGCTACTTCCGTGAAGCCGACCTACGAGCTCATCTTCGGAAGGTTCATGGCACGGATGGCTCTTTCGACCGGAGTATTCGACACAAATTATGGGCTCGATTTTAGTTACCTATCCACGGCATCGATCGGACGCATATTAAGATATGCACTATGGCTCCTCACTATGGAACCATAACACGGGTTTCCTTTTATCGTTTCCTTCCCTGGCATATCACAACCCCCAAAAACACTTGAAAAGAAGAGGAGGCAAGCACACGACCGTTATCCTCAGAAAAGCCCAAAAAATATGTAACGACGCTCACGCATTCCCCTTATCTCCTTCCAACCACACCCAAACAGCAACAAGCAACATCATCCATGTACCTCTCTTATCTCCTTTCACCACACAACGGCAACCAGCAACATCATCCATGTATCTCCATATCTCCTTACATAAACCGAATAAAACCAGTATTTCCTTAGCAACATGTGCCACTATGCGCAAGATGACTATCATGTGTCAATATTCCACTGTGACCATCACCACCACCTCTTGCGCGGAAATGTGCATTGAGGACGTGCTAGCCCTCTACCGTCAATAGCTCTGCACTCTTCTCTTCACCACATCACACTGCATTATTTACCTCAAGCCACTCACACAACATCAAGACCACAAGCAATACAAGAAGCAGAAGTCATATACGTCTAAAGACTACTACTACAAAGGGGTATCTCACGCCATTCTCCATACAAGCACCGACTACTCACATAGTCCCAGATAAACCTCCAGACAAAAAGCTAGATGAGAAGAACACGCCCAAACGGCAGACTAATCCTAGCCCGCTGAAGACGAACGAAAGTCCTGATAATGCCATAGCCCATAAAAACCATTAACGCTAATCATGCGAACCCTAAAAAAAAAGCCCGCCGAGTATATCCCAAAGGACGAAAAGAAGACCGATCGTGACACCGAGCGCATGTCGTCCATGTCTCACTGCACCTTAAACAACGTAACCAAAGCCAAACAACCAACCGCAACCAACGTCCCCGTGACCTCCGGCCTCCTGAGAAATGTCTTGAACGGATCACTTGTCTTCATCACATGCCCTATAACAGTGACATTCGCATCGTTCAGACGCTCTTCTTTGCTCGGACTCGGAATCTTGGGTTCGGAGTGAACCATCGGTGTCGTTTCCATGGGTGACAAGTCTGTGCCAACCTTCTCATCCAGCTCATCCACGAGCGACGCGCAAAGCCGAAAAATGTTCTTCGCTTCCTCGATAATATGGACGCGCTCGTCGGGCGTGAAAAGCGTTTCCGCGGCGAGGAGTTGGGTTTTGAAATCGGCTTTAATGTCTTCGCCGTCGTGGGGGCCGAGGAAATGCCAGAAGGATAAGCCGCGTTCTACTAAACCCGTATCTTCGCCGTCTTGCTCCTCTGGCCAGAAACCTGGCGGTGCTTTCAAGAGCATACTTCGTATCCAGCGGCCCCCGGAAAAGACGGCCATGTAGAAACACCACGCATAACTGACGAGCGTCCAAGGCTTCTCGTTCACGCTCTTGCGGATGTGTGTGCAGAAGTCTGCGACCTTGTCGCCGGGGTATTTCGCCAGTAGGACTTCGAGATCCGTGGGGTGGACTCCTAGCAGGTATTCCAGATCCCGCTTTAACCGACTCGAGCGTATCAACCCCCTCGGCCGTAGCGCTTTCAGAAAAGCAGCGAGTTGAGGAGAAGGCGGTGTCGGCGCACCGAGTGTTGACGTGAAGAGCGAGGGCGAGTCGTACGGGTTCACGAGGAGATACGACAACAGTGGCGAGAAGGGCGGGGACGCGGGTTCAGACTCGACTGCTGCGGGGTGTGTGGAGGCGGTATGTGAGGCATGCGCATGATCGCGCAGGAGATCCGCCCACAGAGACTCGAAGGTGAGGAAGATGTGGGCGAAATGCAGCAGGCCCGTTGCGTAGAGTGTGGCGTCTGTCGTGTAAGGCGGGAGCGCAAGCGGCAGGCGCGAGGTTATGAGGCGGTTAAGGTTTGTGTGGAGGGAACTGGACGTGTATTATTAGCATCGTGGGCTGCCTCCAGAGTGATACGGCACCAGCATCATACCGTGTAGCAGCGTTGATCTCGCCCGAGAGCGAGTCTGGTAACCGCGGCGCGGCGTCTCGGGCGTCGTCCCGCAGCGCATGTTGCTGCCTCTCCAGCATCGTGTGGGCTTCGTAAAGTCGAGTGCAGCGTAGTATATCGTGGCAATATAGAATAGTCGGGCGTCGTAATGTCGATCGATCTTCGTCAATTCGTCGAAAAACGTCAGAAACAGCGTGAAAGGCACAACCTTAAAACCCGGTAAACATGCGTAGACTTCTTTCACCAGCACGCGCTCGACCCACGAGGAAGGTGCAGCAAGCAGCCAGGGAAGGGCAGCAGAGGGCTAGACTCTCTCGTGCCTGACGCTCGTGTTAAACCCACGCGGAGATGGATCCGCCCACGCCCCCTCACACGCCGTGCTTTGCCTGTATCTCTGATCGCAGGGCCAGGGCGGACAAAAAGCACGCCTTTAGTGGGGGCCCTGAGTGGCTTGCCCGTCGCGCATTGCGGCTCTCGCTGTGTGGCAGACGGCGGGATTCGAGGCCATGGTGGCGTTCCACTGGTTCAATGATGCAATCCGTCCGGCTGGCGCGTGGCCGTTATGCAGGGATGCGCCCGCTTCATGACCGACTTCCGTCGCTGGTCAAGATGCCGATGTTCTGCGAACGCTGTTTCTCGAAACGAGGGATGGAAAAGTGAGTTGCGAAGAGTGGATTAAAGAGGATCGCTGCTGATGGTTATGGGTCAGATGGAGATCATGGGGGGGGGGGGGGGGGTTGGGG